CTACCCTCATGGCTCTGTAGGAAATTTACTTATGCCTGAATGTTCTTAAATGACATCGCCTGATAAGTGATGTTTCTAATTCTAAAATGAGCTCTTGGACTCTTAACAAAGAAGGAGCTGATCTATGGTGAGGGTGTGTTTCCTTTTCTAATTGTTGAGACTTTTCGTTAGTGTTAAGCACCTGTGATGCTTTCTTATCCTCTGGAGTGCTCCATTCTAGCTTTTCATTTCTACTTAAGATATGTTGGGTTTTGGTCTGATGAGAAATTAGACTATGATATTATCATAGTCTCCAAGTCAGTGGTTGATGGATTGTTTAGGGCTGGCTAGGTAGCAAGTGAGGTCAGTGGAAGATACTAATCATTGAACAACTCTCAGAAGTTCTCATGTACTTACTTCTACACTGTGCTGGGAGGCGCTGACTTTACTCGAGAGAATCTGTTACTTATTTCAAGGAACTTTTGATGTTGTTGCTGGGCATGGAGCCTATGGCCTCCTGCATGCTAACTGCTATCTCTGCAACTGATCTATATTCCCAGGACAATTTCAAGGAATTTTTTAGATGTGTCATTTTCCAAGAGGGATAAGTGATTTAGAAATTAAATGAAAGGATTTTAGAGGAACTTAGCCATCTTTCTTGTAGGTATTGACCAGGGCTGACATCTTTTGTATACTGAACTTCTATTAATCATCAATTCTAATTTTTTCTCTTTGATTTGGTATTTGTTTACTGTTTGCTATTTCATCAGACTTTCTTGAGTGTATTCAGTGCAGACTGCAAAGTAATAGAGAATGAAATGAAACAATGAGTCATTTTTTTTTGTTTAAAATGAAACAATGAGTCATTTTTTTGTGTATGTGTGTTTTCAGTGGGATCATGAAACCTGGCCTCAATGCCATCATGGGACCCCCAGGTGGAGACAAATCTTTGTGAGTATAACAAAATATAAGTAAGCTTTTTCTGTGCAATTTTGGTATTTTTTTTTAATCACTTTATAGCTGGGCATGTTGCTGCACACCTGTAATCCCAGCGGCTCAGGAGGCTGAGACAGGAGGATCATGAATTCAAAGCCAGCCTTAACAAAAACAATGCACTAAGCAATTCAGTGAGACCCTGTCTCTACACAAAATACAAAATAGGGCTGGGGATGTAGTTCAGTGGTTGAGTGTCTCTGAGCTGAATCTCTGGTACCAAAAACAAAACAAATCACTTTACAGAGCAGGTGTTGGTTAAGCCTTTGCTGTACATTCCCAATCTGGTCCTATGTGCTGGAGATAACATGCAGTCAGACTGGCTTATCCCAAGGACCAGAAAATCCTATTAGGCCACCTTCACTCACACAGCATAAAAGGTGATTGACATAAAGTTATTGGACATATTATAAAGCAATGTGGATGAAAAAGTAGGGAATAATGTTAAAAGTGGGGAGAAGAACTGATACAACAGGTAGAATGATATCACTGTCCTAAAAAGGGCATACTGCTATTCCTCTCTACCTTTCCATTTAATTCCACTATCAATCTTTCGTTGAAGATAAATCTTAGAAAAAGAAGCATATTGCCTAGTTGGATCTTCTAAGGTCAGACAGCCAGGGGAATCACTTGAGAGGTCTGTGCTGGACAAGCTAAATTTTTCTTGCATTTTTTTATTTTTGAGCCTTTTGTACATAATGAAAAGGAAAGTGAGAATTGTGTACCTATATGGGTATAGATAAAATTTTAGTTATACCATGTACTTCTTGACTAGTACATTTTCTAATGCACAAAATTTGGTTTCAGGATAACTAAGTGATATGGCCTGAGTGGAGAGAAAAAAAATAACTCAGAAAATATCTGTCTTTGTATAGGTTGTTAGATATCTTAGCTGCAAGGAAAGATCCATGTGGATTATCTGGAGAAGTTTTGATAAATGGAGTACATCAGCCTGCCGATTTCAGATATAATTCAGGTTATGTGGTACGAGTAAGTATCAGTGAGTTTGATTTTTATGTTTCTTCCTTTTCTATGTGGGAAAGAACCTTGTTGGATTGTCATTTTGTGTACTCCCAGATGAATACCTGAAATGCTCATGGAACCATCTTTCTGTACAGTAGGTCTTCATAAAATTCCATAAGATTGATAGTGGAATTAATGGAAAGGTAGAGAGGATCCGCAGTATGACCCTTTTAGGATAGTGATATTCTTGCTGTTGTATCACTTTCAAAAGTGTCTGCTGTTATACTTTTTGCCTTTCCTTCAAATTTCTGATTCCTCTAGAAGATGCCTTTGGTAAACTATCACACAAAACAGTGTGAGTCATCATAATTACATGTGCTTCCTGTGGCTGTGCATTTGTGAATGAAATGACTGCCTTGGGTTCTGTAGCTGTCTGTATGGGGGATGACTGTAGTTCACAGAGTTAAAAGTTCCCTAGAACGTTACATTGTGTATATTTCTTCTGGGGATTAAGTTACATACATCAGAGTGATGGTCTTAGAAAAAACTCTTTGTCTCATTCAAATACTATTTGTCTTAAGGATGATGTTGTGGTGCACACCCTGACAGTAAGAGAAAACTTACAGTTCTCAGCAGCTCTTTGACTACCAACTATGACAAATCATGAAAAAAATGAGAGGGTTAATGACATTATGGAAGAGTTAAATCTGGATGATATGGCAAATTGCGAGGTAATGTGGGGGAAAAATAACCTGATCAATCATAGCCAGAGAAAGGATCCCTGTGTAGATAATATGACCCTTAATCATAAATGTCCTATAATATGCATGGTCAAAAGTGGCTGCTTTCTTTAACAATGAGAAAAGCAACTAGTTGCGTACTGTGAAGGGGGAAACTAAGTGGGAAAACAATCATAATGATGGTCAAATCCCAAGAATGAAGTGTGAACAGATTTTTCCATACAGTTGTCATTGTATGTACCCTCACTGTCAAGTTATGGCTCATTTGATGTCTTTGCATTAACTTTTCTTCTTCCCCTTTTAGCTTTTCTTTTCCCTCTTTTCCTCCAGTGAACTTTCATCTAGTGCTTTTTTTTTTTGAAGTATAATTCTGGAATTGATTAATGATGAGAATCCAAGGATTCTTGCTCTCTTTCACTGTGGTGTAATTTGTCTTTCAAAATTTATCCATAAACAGTAGGATTTACTTTTAATTTTTGTAGTGTTCAAGTTATTTTTCTATAGTATCTCTTTAGCAGTTTTCTCTGTCCTCGCCTCTTTTCTTCTCTCTTTTCTTCCCTTTCTCTTACTAATGTATTTCCAGAATCTTACATGTCAGACTTTTTTTAGGATTGAGAAGTAGAGTGGTGGGCAAGAGTGACAAAGACTGGAAAAAGTAACTCTTCTGTTTATGGACTGTGCAGGATCAGAGAAAGATGAGAAGGGAGTAAGTAAACTTGACAGGTGAACACTCCATACAGAAGTTTTGCTGAGCAGACATTTTTGGATCTTTGGGTGATAATGAGCTGTTTAAAATGTAGTAATCTACTGTGATCTCCCCTTCAGGAGGCAATGATGACTGCAGAAGACGTTCTGCTGGCAGCTGCTTCCTGTTGTACTTACTTATAGTTTTTATGTGAAATATATTTGTTTGAAAAACCCTATGATACCACCATTTTCCACATATTTTTGCTTTGTGACTTATTGAGTTGTCATTATTTTGGCTTTATTTATTGAACTATTGTCTTTCCACTTTGGTAGCTTCTTTAACTCTATTCTATTTTTTTAAGTTTTTTTTTTTTTTGTACTTGTAGATGGACAGCAGGCCTTTATCTTATTTTATTTTATATGGTGCTGAGGATTGAACCTAGCACCTCCCACATGCCAGGCAAGCACTCTGCCACTAAGCTACAGCCCCAGCCCTCACTCTATTCTTGATCATTAAGAACTCACTGCCTTAAGTTGCTCAATTCAATTTCCAGGAAAAATATACAGATAGTGCTTGAATTATTAAAATTCATAAATTTGATTGAAATAATTTTTATTTTTTACTTATGTTTTCAGCATTACAAAAATGCCAAGAAGATAGTATGATTATTATGATGTGATTGTTGAACAATTTATATAGTAGTATGATTACAAAAAAAATTCATGCAGGTGTCTCAGTTGTTAACACATCTTGTCTCGTAATTACAACTGCTGTTTCTTACTGAAGTGTTTTAATAGAAAGTTATGTGACATTTTATACTTGAATATTTATTAGGTATCTAGAAAAAAAGCAAGGACACTTGCATACCTTCCCCAATACCATTATCAACTAACAAATCAAACAATATCTTCAGGGCACCTGCAATACCAAGAGCATCTTCATTCACATTTCCCAAGTTACCTCCACATGTTAAAGTTCAGTTATCGATAGAATCCAATCAAGGGCCACAAGTAACATCTGAATATTATCTTTTTGGAGACTCTTAGTTTCATAATTGTTTCCCAATTCCTGCCTCCCCCAAGCCTTCCTAGTCCTCTAGCCATGCACAATGACCTGACTGGTTGAAAACACTGAACCAGTTGCTGGGTGGATTATTCCAGTAAATGGATTTATCCTAAAGAATGAATTAGGAATTCTATGGTGCATTAGGGAAAGCCTTATGGGGATTAAAATGAAACAAAAAAAAAATATGGTACAGTAGAAAGTTAATTTCTCTGGCTCCAAGTTCACCCTCTTCTTGTAAGTGTACTGGGGAATTTGGGTGGATGTAGTGGGCTGAGGGTGTTGACAGAAGACTAATCAATTACTAGTGATGCTTCCCCTTTTCCTCTTCTGTCTTTATCTCTGTTTTATACTGCAATTTCACTATGTCAGGGCCATCTGCATTAGTGTTCTAAGGCACTGTCTTAAAACTATATATTTGACTTGATAAGAACAAAAATATTAAGAGTCTGGACTTTCTATCAAGTCTAGCTTCTTAGCAGCTCTGTCCTAAGCCTCAGTTTACCTATCTGGTAAAAGAGAACCTCCTCTTTCTCAGGGGCCTATTTCCTTGATGTTCAAAAATCATGAGGATAATGACATAAAGTTTCTCTAGCAAAGCTGGCACAGGTTAGTTCAACAAAAGAGTGTGACTTTGGTAGTTTTCTGTTGATAGTGATAATAATCTGTGTTTTAGGTTAGACCTAGAGAATTACGAAAAAGGACTAGTATAGCTGTGGAGCTGATCACTGATCCTGCCATTTTGTTCCTGGATGAGCCAACAAATAGTCTAGACCCAAGCACTGCAAATACTATTTTTTCACTCCTGAAAAGGTAAGTGCTATGGGAATGTTTTTTTGTTTTTTGTTTTTTTTAAATTTTCAATCACTTCTATGTACAGGTGTTCTTATTGCAGGGGATTCTGAAGTAAATTGCAGGGTTTTCTTTGTTAGAGAAAAACAGTCAATTAACAAAAGTAATAACAAGAAAGATTAATCAAGAGCTTGGGGAAGAAGGCTGTGGTGGGTGTGGGGAGCTCTTTTCAACAGCCTGAGGGTCAGGGAAGACCACAGCATGGGCATGGGAGCTGGAGGAGAGGGAATGGGAGCTGAAGGTCCTGCGGAAGAGAGTTCT